AATCTTGTCATTGAACTCAATAAAGATTTGGACTGCATTTCGGAATGCGGTACCAAGAACTTGGTTGAGTTCATTGCCAAGAAAGCCCAGGTCTGCGCTTTCACGGTAAAACTAACGTTTTTTCACGCCTGAGCAACTGTGCTTGTTGTACATGACGTAAGTACGGTGATGCTTTGGATAGGTTACAGCGGCGCGCGATCCGCATTAATGTCGATAAGGAGGTGACTAAACAAATCGAGCCTCGTGAATTACGCCGTGATGTAGCGTTATTAAGCGCGTTTTATCGACTATACCTTGGCGCATGTTTTGAGGAGTTATTGTCTCTTAACCTACCTTCCCCTTTCCTACAGAAGTCTACACGCGCTGGCTTACGTTGCCACCGACTTACTGTGAACTACTATTCCCACTGTTCCAACGTGAACAAAGAAATTTGGTAACTCATTTCTTTGTCAGACTATCCGCAAATGGATTACTTTGCCCTCTTACGTGTGTGAAGTAGCAATTCTGCAGGCCGGCAAAATGAGGATAGCTGGTGTGGCAAGTAATACTGCTGTACCAGCTATCTTTGCGTCTAGACTCCTCCGTCATCTAACCTCTGGTGGAGTCATTTCTTGAGCCTATTTATAAAAAAAAATCTATAGCAAAGATTTTTTTTTGATTTTTGCTACAAAGGTGTCATATCTGAGGAGTACCATGGATTATGCAGAAAAATCGGAAAAGCCGTTTCGGAGGAGTTTAACCACAAACACCGCGACACGAGAATTTATATATATTAGATTGATATAAAAGTTAATTTCAATCCAAAAAATAAAAGTAACTACAACGGTAGTAATTTTACGAGAGGAATTTGGTTTAGAACAGTTCACCGTGATGATAAAATGCCACTTCGTTTTTTTTTATTTTATGGATTTAGAGCCCATTACTCAATAATTATTTTTGCCAAGGTTGAGAAGTAGTAGGTACTTCTCAACCTTGGCAAAAATAATTAACCAAGAAAAAATACAAAATCATAAATCAGCACATTGCACTGCCGCTCTGAGGAATACCGTGTATTTTTTTTTTGCTCGGGGAGTTTACCCCTACATGCTTCATTAGGATTTAATTAATATGTTTCGGGTATTTATTTATTTATTATTTCCTTTTTTCATATAATAATCTTGACAAAAAAAATATTTATATTTTATTATATGATAATGATAATACATATTGCAAATATATGTTTTAAACGTAAATTTTGCGCTGAACACGATGAAAGAAAAAGAAATGGTAAAATTAAATTATCATATAATAAAATTAAATATATTTTTTTTAACTATATTTTTCGTCATCTTTCTTGGTAACCATCATTTTAAACTAAATACGCAGAATAGTTCACCCAGTAATGTTCATTAGTGATTAATTAAACAAAAGAATAACAGTGTTGCCCAGCGCGCGATTCAACAATGAATGAATAAAAGTGAGCAACTCACTCGCTAGCGCACGATCTGTGTACGGAAGAGACGGTTAAACATGGATAACTGGTTTTAGCTGAAGCATAAATTTTAAAGTAACGATGACTAACGCTAATAAATTACAGTGGAAGAAAAGAGTAAGCACTGATAGTTGATTTTAGCTGAAGTAATTTATAAAGCGTCAAATAAAAGTTATTCAGTAAAAACAAATTAAAATTCGGTATCTTCTTTTACTTGCCTCAAATATAACGCAAACATATTATATATATTTTTTTTGCAAAAAGCGACAGATTTGTTAGTTTTTACTTCATCTAGTAAAATTAAAATATCTGGTAAAATTCAAGTCAAAGCCAATTACAGGATACTCACAGGATATTTTAAGTGTCTACATGAAAAATGAGTTTAAATCCGAAACTTGGTTTCAACAATTAATACGTTTACAAATTTAAGTGTTTTGAATGGGTTTATTTGGTTTTAAACCAAGAATTTTGGAAATAATTTGCAGTTCTTTTGTTTATTCATTAGCTATTTCAGGAAGTATGCGTCGTAGAGCATAATGGGTTTTACCTGTAGATGCGGCTTAATGAGACGGGTCGATTGGTATTATAAAAGTTTAGTAGCGGAAAAGAGCAGATAATCGGTTTTAGCACTAAGGGGGCGATTTACCAATAATAAACTTCTCGCTTTCTAAACGCGCTTTGTTCGTTATTTTGAAAATGTACATATTAATAATTATAATTAGTAATAATATTTAATAGGAGTAACAATTAATTAATTCTTCATTAATAATTCTTATTAAAAAATAATGAACAAAAATATTTACAAAGAATAAAGACATTTATTTAAATTCAAAATACGGAACAAAAGCGATGTTCTTGGCTGTATCATTTCGGTGGTAATTTTTTTACCATTTCGGTAGACAATTTTCATTTCAGTGGACTGCCGAAAACTCATCCTTAAATATTTCAGTAATTGGTGATTGTTGAATTTGCCCCGTAGGATCGTTTAAAAATGGAAAAAAAAACCATAAACAATATTTTTTCTTTTTTTATTTTGCACCTTTAATTGCATTTTGTGTAAAAACTATGAGAGATACGCGAAAATAAGTTGATACTTTTTTTGTAGGAAATTAAATTTTCTACAACTTTGTGCTACAAACTTTTTCTATTTTTCTAGCCAGTCGCGAGATATTGACGAAAAACTCGTTTTTGCACCATTTCGCATTTTTTTTTCACCCTTTGCCGTCAATGCAGCACCCTGCAATTTTAGTATATTAATCTACGAACCCTTGCGGAAATTTTCGCGTTGGTTGCAGGTGATCAACTCAAAATGGCAAAGTTAAGCCTTCATTGACTGGACTATAAGCAGTTAGCCGTGCTTAAATGTTTGTATTGTGAATATTTGATTGAATTAAGTAGATACCTACATAATTTAATATGGCAAAGAGCAATAGTCGATATTGTGCTGGTTTTGGTTGTTTGAACTCTTCAATAATTAAACTTTTTATACGAATGCGTATTTATTATACTATTAAAGGACAATGTTAAATTTGGCCTAAGAACCAACACCAATTTGGCATTTACGATAATTCTTAGTATATTTTTTGCGATAATTATCAGTATTTACATTGTGACGGACACTTCCAGTAAAGTAAGCTATATTAAAAAATTAAAAAAAAATCTGTGACTACCATTTTATGTGTATAATCTATGACAGCGCTGCAAACAAAACACCCTTTCTTCTTAATGCCGGCATTTCACTTGTCTATTCGTGTTTGCTTTTTGAAAACTTGACATCAGTCTGTGCTTTTTATTCCTTATTAAGCATGACAAGACAGACTGTTGTCAAGTGAAGGGCCGGCATAAAACTCGATACTCTGTGTTTGAGGTGCAGGCAGTTTGCATTTGTAGTTACCTGTGGCATTCGTGCATTCTCGTTTCGGATTACCTGTTGTGTGTCTTTATATGCGATTGTTTTTCCTATAATTTAACTATTTCGGATATCTAATATGCCATCGATGTTACCAAAGAGCAAGGCACCTTATTACCAAGTCCTAGAGAACCTGTACCACAACATCCTGAGAGGATCATACTGCCAAATTATTCAAGAACACCTGATACACATTCACGCTGCATATTTACACAATAAACATGTGATATACAAATAAATACAATATACAATATGATACATTTGTGAAAAATAGTCAAAAAATAAGAAGCAAAACTACAGTTTTTATTTTATTCATGATTCCTACCTAACCAAGTTTTTCCCAATAGTTATTATTTTAAATCGCACCAAATAAAAATGAATTAGTTGTAATATTAATTCAATTCATACTGAGTGCATACTAAGTTCATAGGTTGACATGTTTTATTTAATATTAAACATAACCTCAAAAAATATTTAGTTTTCCTGATAATTTAAGTTCTCAGAAGTGTCCGTCATTAATCTATGTTTTTACAGTCATTTACTTGCAATTTCGAATCTAGAAAATAATATTTCATGATTGTTGGTTCTTAGGCTAACAATGTATGGACGCAGAACAATGTCCTTTAATAATAAAGCTTTTCGTAGGTCTAAGTCGCGGCGTAAATATTTTTCTGTCTCAAATCTATATTTTTATGTTTTATATTAAATATTACACTTATAATAACATGTATTTTATGTAACACTTCCTAATTCATTCACAACATTTTTTTTAACATAAGATATAAAATATTTACAATCACAAAACTACAAAGAAACTCAATTACGAGAATGAAATTAAAATACTACAGTATTTGCATACCGGGCAGCCTACCGCGTGGATACGCCCCACTCGGCCGTAGGCAGTTATTTCAAGGACAGGGCCGAGTCACAATACTGTATAGATAATATTACCGTGCTCCAGCGCTGACCGTTATTGCGCAGAAGTAAAAATTAAGATGTCTTGGGGGGAAGCGAGGTGCGCGGGTGGTCATGCCCTGCTCCGATTGGCTCTCCAGTCGTACCCATGCGTAGCTATCCCTGACGCGTTTTATTCAGCGCTAGACTTACGTGCCGCCACCTACATTTATCTAAACAACATGGCCTAGTTGCGGTACTGTTTTAAAGCTTATATATACTGTGGCTTATTACTAAATTGACCTTCACCTCACGGAAGATCATAGTAAAAGCCACAGAGCAACAGAATAGAATTTCCGATATCTAAGTTTAAGTTTTTTGTTTTTGTGATGGACTTCACATCCTTGGGCACGGGATGATGGTTTTTGCTATTTGTTAGTGTTAATTTTAATAGGTAGATTAATATCTTCTCTTATTTTAGGTGATTGTCTTGTGTCTCCGTCCGTTGATGTCCAAATTAGGTCCCTCCAGAATATCAGCGTTGTAGCGGCAATCCATTTTTGCCGTTGCAACACTATGCTGAGGTGGGGCCTAGTTGACGATGTACCTTTTGTTTAATGTTTGTTGTGTATTTATTGTAATTGTTAATGTATGTCGTTAATAAATGTTTTTCTTTCTTGTCATCATTTACAAGCTTAGTAGTTAATATTAAATTGTTTGTTCTAGAAAGTGTTCGCAGAAAAAGACAAGTATGGATGACGACAATGACTTTAATAATGAATTTGAGGTCGAGCATAAGACCGCATTTGAAGGCAAAACCGAGAGTTACAGAATGAATCTATCTATCATAAAGATGACGGATGATGTCATAAAAGATGGCCTCCAGACAGTGTTCGAGAAAGTGAAAGAGGTTTTAAGAAGACGTTTAGAAAAATTACCTAAACATAGCAGAATCATAGCTACTATAAATGTAGAAGGTGCCATGAACGAATATGATTATACAGTATTCGCTCTTAATGCTTTTATAAAACTTCAACCAAGAGAACCGAAAGCCGATATGGCAGAATATGTTAAAAAACGTGTCCAAGAGGCACAACAAAAGATCCAAACCAAATATTCCGATTATAGTAAACAAAACAAAGGAGATAAACACCTCCTTTATTTGTACCTGCAAATTCATAAATTCACTGATGTTCAATCTAATGATAGCAGTATCGAAAAGTCACTTTTTGAAATCAAAGAGCTAGAAAAGGATTCAAAAAAAATTGATTTAGGTGACATTGTTTATCCTGTCCTAATGGACGATATACCAAGCATAGCAGAGAAAAATAATATTAGTATCAACGTTTACATGTCAAAGCAAGAAGGAGTAATAGAAGGACCCGTGTACTACAAAATGAAAAAGAAAAAAGAAAAAAGAAAAAACATTAACTTGTTGTGGTCTTGTGAAAGCGAACACGATCATTTCAGTTCTGAACCTGGTATCAATACCAATCGCTGCGATGGTTGCTTAAATTTCTTTGATAATGAGAAGTATTTAGAACTTCACAAAAGTGAATGTCTTCGTGTTAAGACATCAATCCCACAGGCTAAAACTATTCAGTTTGATAATAAAGATCGTGCAAAAAAAGCACCCTTTGTGGTGTATGCTGATATCGAGACCGCTGTAAGCAAAACTTTATATCAAAATAAATTAACATCAAAAGATATGCCAAACAAAAATTGGACGAGAAATATAAAAAAACATGTGCCATATCGTTATGGCTATTACATAAAATGCGATGATGAAGATTTTTCTCTTCCCTTTAAGACAGACGTGAATCCAAACCTTGAGCACATTGTTAGTAAATTCACGGAAAATTTAGTTAAAGATCTTATGACACAGATAACTAAGTACAAAAATAAAAATCCAGAGGCATCTATAAAAACAGTGCCTGTGTTAATGCATAACTTTAAAAGCGAAAATAGCTGTTTTATTGTCCAGGGTTCTAATTGTCAATCTATGTACAAAAATTACTCTGCAATACACAAAATAGTGAAAAGTGATGTGGGAGATATTCAGTTACGTTTTCTTGAATCACGCGGATTTTTAGATGAATCATTGGAGGAATCCATAAAGAACATGAAAATAGTCTTTAAGGAAATCGAAAAAATGTGCAGCGATATCAGGACTGATGACAGTAAAGATATAAAGGAAACTGTAATCGGAGCCGGGGGTTTTCCATTTCCAAGGGAATATATAGAATCACCTGAAAGTTTAAGAGAAAATCGTTTTCCGGATTTACCAACTACCAATGATGATGCTTTGATATACAAAGCAATGACTGATACACAAAAACAAAATGGCAGAAAAATTTGGCAGAAAATTGGATGTCGGAATATCAACGACTATTTGGAGTTACGTCTTAAGGCTAATGTTCTCTTTCTTGCTGATATTATCGAATATTTGAGACAGCTCTGTATAAGCAATTATGAATTAGACCTAGCGTATTATTATTCAATTGCTGGATTAAGCTGGGACGCGATGTTGAAATCCACAAATATAACATTACAGCTATTGCCTGATGTTGAAATGTTATTGTTTATCAAGAAAGCTATTAGAGGGGGTTACATACAATGCAGTAAGAGGATGGCTACCGCCAATAATGAAAGAATGTTAGAATACGATCCAAAGAAGGATAAATCAAATTTGATGTTTTATGACGCTAATAATCTTTATGGTCATGTAATGTGCCAGAACCTGCCATATGGAGGATTTGAGTGGGTTGATACGAATGTCAATTACAAAGTCGGAGAACATTCAGATGTAGGTTATATCTTGGAGGTCGATATCGATTATCCAGATTTTCTACACGACTTGCATTCTGACTTCCCTTTCTTCCCTATTAAGAAAAACGTAGATGGTAATAATTACAAACTTCTTGTAGCTGATCTTGGAAAAAGAAAGCGCTACGTCGTTCATTATTTATACTTACAACTGCTCGAAGAGCAATTCAACGAGCAATTGAAAGCGAAGAAGTTGTCTAAACCACCCAAGTTGATTACAAAAATTCATCGTATTCTAAAATTTAACCAAAAGCCATGGTTAAGAGAATACATAAAGAACAACATTGAAAAACGTAAAATGGCTAAAGCTACTAAGAAAGATACTGAGGAAAAGTTATTCAAATTACTAAACAACTGTATATATGGAAAAACAATGCAAAATGTGGAAAACCAAGGAGATATTTTACTTCTTGACAACTGGGAGGATAGCGATAACCGAAGAGGTGCCGCACACTATGTCCTACGTCCTGATTTTCACAGTCTGTCCATATGTTCCGAAAACATGGTAGCAATAAAATTACACCATACCAATTTAATATTTAAATATCCCATCTATGTAGGATTCTGTATTTTAGATCTCTCGAAGGCAGTTGTGTATAATTTCCACTACAATGTTATGAAAAAAACATTCAAAAACAATATCACTCTACTTTATACCGATACTGATTCTCTTTTTTATGAATTTAAAGGGGATTCTTATAAATTGCTGGATGGAAAAGAAATTGAGAAATACTTTGATGTTGAGGAATATGCCAATGGCAATTATGATAAACTGTATTCGTGTTGTTTTAAAGATGACATGGGAGGACAACTTACTAAAAAATTCGTAGGTTTGAAATCAAAGATGTATGCTATAAGGGCTGAAAGTGAAGATAAAAAGGATAAGGAAAAAATGAAATCACCCCACTTGCCTAGTTATGTCAAAGATAAATTGTCTTTAAAAGATTATGTGCAATGTTTACGTTCTAACACACCTTTATATAAAGAATACAATCGAGTCAGAGCACTAGACCATGATCTGTACTCACAAAATGTTAAAAGGGTAGTTATATCACCTGTAGAAAAAAAAAGGAAAATTTTAGATAATAACATTGATACTTTGCCATATCATCACAAACTCTTACCCAGACCCAGACCCAAACCCAGAGGCGGCGTAAGGCGTGGGCGATGTGGGCCACCGCCTACGGCCTCGGGGTACAAGAGGCCTCGCGCCTCATAAATTTTTATGCATTAGTCTCCTAAAATCCGGTATCAAACTGATTTTTTTTACGCCATGATTGATTCTATAATAACCAGTATGGAATTAAGATTTACGTCTTTAAATCAACATTTTCAAGATTTCGGTTTTCGCTATGATTTAAGCAAGCTAAAAGATATGCCAGAGGAGCAAATATTAAAACACTGTAACGATTTACATAACGTCCTGCGTGTGGGTGAGAGCAGTGACTTCCAACCATTTGAATTATATGAAGAATTAAATTCAATGATCCCAACCCAACTTCATTATAGTTTTATTTTATGACTCTATAGTTTTATTTTAAAACACAAATTAATTTGTACCCAACAAAACGGCTTTCAAAAAGGAAAGTCGACAACTTTAGCAGCTTTCAATTTGATTACCAAAGTAATTGATGAAGTAAATCAAAAGAATGCGACCACAGCTGTATTCTTTGACATGTCCAAGGCCTTTGATAGGGTGTCACATGAATCACTTTTGAAAAAATGTGAACTATATGGAATTCGCGGTAAACCATTGGAATGGCTGAGATCATATTTGATAAAAAGAAATCAATATGTGGAGATTAATGGTCTCAATGCAAATAAAGAGGAAGTAACTTATAAGTCGCGGCTAAAGATAAAAAAACTTGGGGTTCCACAGGGAAGCATTCTGGGTCCCTTACTATTTCTACTGTATATAAATGACTTGCCTGAGGTCACGAGACATCAGTGTTCACTCTTCGCTGATGACATTGCTTTGGTTGTACCATGCAGGGACAAATTGACATATAATAATGAAATCAATTCTGCGATTGCTGACATAATAAAATGGCTCCATTGTAATAATTTGAAAGTTAACATGTCAAAAACTAAATATTTACAATTTCATAATCAAGGTGGTAAAAAGCAGATGCTTAATCTGACATTCAATAACATAACAATTGATGAAACAAATGAAACAACTTTCTTAGGCATTACATTAGACAACTGTTGCACATGGAAACCACATATAGAACAATTATGTACGAAACTAAACCGTTTCGTATATGTTCTATGGCGTTTGAGTAAAATCAGCAACATACAGACAACACTAAAAGCATATCATGGATATATTGCATCAAATTTAAGTTATGGAATTTTGCTATGGGGTAACTCAACAATGGTGAATAGGTTATTTTTAGCGCAGAAGCAGTGTATAAGAGGAATCTGTAATGTACCACCACTTACCAGCTGTAAACCTCTTTTTAAAAAACTTGGCTTATTAACACTTTGCGGCATCTATTTATATGAAGTTTGCATTTTTGTCAATAGCAATATACATTTACATGCCTGGCTTGTCGACAAATGTTTTTATTGTATTGGCGAATATTTTATGAGTGATAATTATTAATTAATTATTATAAAAATAAGTCGGGTTTTCCTTCCTGACGCTATAGCGTAATTAGTTATAACTCCAGAACGCACGAACCTATTTCCACGGTTTTGCATTCATTGGAAAGGTCTCGGGCTCCGTGAGGTTTATAGCAAAAAAATTCAGGAAAAATTTGAACAGAAAAGAGGGAAAATCTTTTTTCAGATACAGCGCCATCTCTGATACATAGCATGTACTTACAAACCAATATTTTAAGTAGATGGCGTCGGTGCGTGATACATTGTTTGACAGCTACTCATTGTTCTCTGCTCAGTTAATTTCATGTGACAAACCGATATTGTATTCACTGAGAAATTGTGAAAAAAAGTAAAAAAAAAAATAAGTTATTCGTTTCCTAACATTTCAATTGGAAACCATCAAATCAATCACGTTTATTGTGCAAATTTTTATTCAATTTCAACAGCAGGCATTTGTCTTTAAGGTAATAAGTTGAACTGTGTAAATTATGTGGATCGTGCATTTGAGGTTAAATTCACCACTCTGTCCATAGTCCAAAATGCCTAGAGGACGACGTGCGAACATCGGCCGCCGCACAAGACATGCAAGCCAGCAACAAGTGTATTCACAGAACTTAAGCGAAGAAAGACAAAATATAATAATAGAAAATGCCCGACTGAGACAACGCGTGAATACCGAAGATTATTGGCATCATACAATCGCTTGGCATTCCAATATGATCCCACTGCGAACTACAGTGATGATGAAAATTTAGAGATTGGACCAATGACTACTACACTATATGCCGATATTGCAATGCGTTAAAGTTCAAAAGAGAAACGGCTGGATTGTGCTGCGCAAGTGGAAAAGCCAAACTGGATTCATTACTTACACCACCACAGCCACTGAAACTATTGTTCGATGGAAATGATCCCGATTCCAGCCATTTCTTTAACACATCCTTGAATACAATAACTGCTTTCGCATGACTTCCTTTGGAGCTAATATCATTCGAGAAGGCGGCTTCATGCCGACTTGCAAGGTAAAAGGTACAACACACATAACCAATCACTCACACCAACACAATGAATTGCGACACATAACAACTACATATACAACTTCTTTAGCGGCATTGTACATTTTATTGTATGGTTAAAAAATGTTAAACTCGCGTCAGGTTAAACACGTGGGCTGATCGCATAATGGCACACAATAAAATTGGAAAGGTTGTTGACTTTTCAATATATTGGACGAAACATAGTAATATTTTATTTTAGCGTATTATAATAATAAGTCTCTATCTAGGACGTCCACGTTGCAGCTTTATTAATTTATTTATTTTATAAGAAAATGCATTTTTTAACAATAGATGTCGCTAGGTGCGCTTAAATGTGATTCATGTAAGTTGATTTCTTTACAATAGATGTCGCTAAGTGCGCTTAAAGGTGATTCATGTAATTTGATTTTTTTGAGAGATAAACTTTTTAAATGTAATAAAAATTGACATGTTTGTGTACGATAGCGCAATAAATAAATATTGTATTCTACCACATACATGATAGTACTTTTATACTGATAATTAAAGTGCAAAGCAATTCGTGCAAAATTATTCCCTAACCATTCCAAAATATCAAAAATGCACAACGTTAATATTCAAGTTTTCACTTCTCCGGCACTCTGCCGGCACTCCCGGAGTGCAACCCGTCGTTTTTTTTTAATAATTATTATATACAGCTACAGGTTTGTGCGTCACCTTCAGTGTGTTAGGCCATCTCGCACTTTTTTCTCGATAGACAGCATCGCACGTATCGCGCGAAATATGCTCGTGGAGACACCTATCGGCCCACCTAGCATTAAGTTTACATGATCCCAATACGTTTTATTGAGCAAAAGGTATAACCTACGCTGTTCTCAAGCTGAGTTAATATATATAAATATACATATATGTACTTATATAGACATACGAAAAACGTATGTCTCTTTAAATTTCTACTAACTACTCAAATATTAACTTTTAAAAGACATGGTAAAATTTTGTATGAGCGACTGCCCTAGCAATGTATAAATATTGTACTTCATCATCATCATCATCATCAGCCTATTAATGTCCCCACTGCTGGGGCACAGGCCTTCCCTATGGATGGAATAGGGAGATTGGGCCATGACCCACCACGCGGGCCCAGGGCGGATTGGCGGGTGCTAACGACTGCAGATGCAGCCGGGACCAACGGCTTAACGTGCCTTCCGAAGCACGGAGGAACTCGAGATCATTACCTTGCTACATTTGATAAAACATGTTGCCAATTATTTACAGAGCCATAAATTTCGCATTTTCTTAGAATATTTCGTCACATTTATCTGATTAACACTTCACAAAAAGCATTTTTAAAAGTAAAAATAAATACAAATAATTTGTTGTTGTCGGTCTGACATGAAATCCACCGAGTACCTTATTATAACATTAGACGGAGACTATGTGAGGCAAACTTGTACGGAAGAGTGTCTCGGAAGGTGACACTTTTGAAAAAGCAAAATGCTAAGGCAAGATTAGCATTTGCTAAAAAATATGTACACTGGACTGAACGAGAATGGAAACATGTGCTTTTCTCTAATGAAACAAAAAATAATATGATTAATTCTGACGGAAAACAATATGTTAGACGCCCCCCGAACAAAGAAATGGATCTAAAGTATACCAAGAAGGTAGTTAAACATGGGGGCGGAAATATCAAAGTTTGGGGCTGTTTCTCAGGACTTGGTGTTGGACCTGGCAGGAAATTAGAAGGCAACATGGATAAAGGACAATGTTAAAATTGGCCTTCTTAGGCCAATTTGGCATTTATGGTAATTCTTAGTATATTTTTTGCGATAATTATCAGTATTTAGGTTGTGACGGACACTTCCAGTTAAGTAAGCTAAATTAAAAAGTTAATAAATAATCTGAGATAATAAATACCATTTTGTGTATAATCTATGGGTGCGGCCAGAGTGCACTCAGATTCAGACTCAGATTCCGATTTCGAAAACAAGCGCGAGAAATAAACAGTGTAGTCTAAGCAGGTTGCCTGCTTTTTCTCGCGCTTTGTTTTCTGAGTCTGAATCTGAATCTGAATCAGGAGTGCAATCTGGCCGTACCCTTCGACTACACTGTTTATTTCTCGCGTTTGTTTTCGAAATCTGAATCTGAATCTGAATCTGAGTGCACTCTGGCCGCACCCTATGACAGCACTGCAAACAAAAAACACTTTCTTCCTAATGCCGGCACTTCACTTGGCTATTCGTATTTGCTAATTAAAAACATGACATCAGTCTGTCATTTTCATTCCTTATTAAGCATGACAAGGACAAACTGTTGTCAAGTGAAGGGCCGGCATAAACTCGATTCTCTGTGGTTGTGGTGCAGCCAGTTTGCATTCGTAGTAATCTGTGGCATTCGTGCATTCTCGTCAAAGAGTACTTTTTTTCTTAAAAAATCTGGTTCGGATTACCTGTTGTGTGTGTTTATTTGCTATTGTTTTTCCTTTAATTAAACTATTACAATTTCGGCTATCTAATATGCCATCGATGTAACCAAAGAGCAGAGACCTTATTACCAAGTGCTAGTGAACCTGTGCCACAACATCCTGAGAGGATCATACTGCCAAATTATTCAAGAGCACCTGATACACATTGACGCTGCATATTTACACAATATACATGTGTTAAACAAATAAATACAATATGATACAATTATGTGAAAAATAGTCAATAAATAATAGAAGCAAAACTATTGTTTTTATTTTATTCATGATTCCTACCTAACCAAGTTTTTCCTAATAGTTATTCTTTAAAATCGCACCGAATAAAATTAATTAGCTGTAATATTAATTCACTTTATACTGAGTTCATACTAAGTTCATAGGTTGACCTATGTTTCATTGAATATTAAACATAACCTCAAAAAAATTTTAGTTTTCCTATAATTTAAGTTCTCAGAAGTGTCCGTCAATAATCTTTGTTTTTACAGTCATTTATTTGCGATTTCGAACCTAGAAAATAATATTTCATGATTGTTGGTTCTTAGGCTAACTATGTATGGACGCAGAACAATGTCCTTTCAATACAAGAATATTTTAGAACAATCCGTGCTGCCCTATGCCGAGCAAAGTTTACCTGTCATTTCGATGGGTGCAAAGTAAATAAAGTCAACTACAAATTCACGTTTTTCTTTTTATTTCATTTTCGTACTAATCAAACAAGACGCCACAACCTGACATATTTTGTTTTGCAGATTTCACTTTATTTCAATCAATTTTCGAACGTATCATAAGCCATCTACGCATGCTTTTGCAAATAGTACGAAATCAATGCGACCAAGTAAGTTTGGTCGTTTCAACGCGGAGCGCGAGGCGGGCTCCGAGCGCGCACAAAATGACATCAGGCAGTTGGCTCACTTGTCACCGGCCCGCGCGTACCTTTTAGGTTAAGAAAAGTTTTTTTCTTTAACGGCAGCAATTTCAAGGTGTTATTTTATTCTCCATTTGCATTAATCCTTAAAATTTCAAAATGAATAAAGAACGACGCAAACTACAATTAGGAAGAATAAGAAAATAACTGGACATCAAGGAATCGGATGGGCTTTCAAAACTAAAAAAATATAATAGCCGTGATACTGAGGCTGCTATGTATAACTATACGGACGGACGTTATGTATGTATACGGATGGTATGTATAACTAGACGGAGTATACACGACCAACTGGTAGTTGGCTCAGTTAGCATTTTTTAAAGTACGATGTAAGAACGGCTATCTGCAAATATCTGAAATTAGCTAAACCAGCTTAATATACAAATATATAACAGTATAAATAGATTATGATAAAATTTTCAGAACTATTGGTCCACTCATTAGAAAAATAACACACTTTTTCGATCTTTTCGCTCTCCTGTAAAGTTGCTATTTTGTAGATGTCCGTTTTTACTTTGC